CCTGGACACGTTTTCTACGGGAATTGTTGCGACGGGCCATGAATTTATCAAGAAAAAGGTTTTCTCATATGATATTCTGAATTAAGATTATTCAAAGTGAAATTATTTATTACCTACAAGATTTTTAGTGAACGTTATTTTCAATAATTAAGAAATCCCTACTAATCTCTGCTAATATTACAAATGCGAAAGTAACTCTGTCTGTCCATCTGTTACGCTTTCACGCCTAAACCACTGCACTGATTTTAATGAAATTTGGTACAGATATAGAGTTGACCTTGAGAAAGAACATAGGCTAGTTTTTATCCCAGATTTTTGAAAGGTTCTCTTGGAAACGCGATATAACCGAACTCCACGCGGGCGAAGCTGCGGACGGAAAGCTAATAGAAACAATAATTTTCAATTAAACTTGCTTACATTTTCGTAGGTTAAAATTATAAATGAAAAGTAAGATTTCAATCTTTATTATGGTCTTTTTAATCAACAAAATTTAAGCTGTGATAAAATTTGTAAAAAAGTATCTGTTTCACAATCCCCAGGTATTAGAAAAGAAAAATTCAAGCCTTATAAATGTCTATCTCGAGAGCTTGATTTATGTCATTCATATTTTTTTGTAGATCAGAATGAATGAATGTGAAATACATAAATTCTTATTTAAATTTTTATTAACTTTAATAACATGAAAAAATAAAATAATGAATTTTCTGTTACTATATAAATTTATTACATATTCAGACACTATACATTATACTTATTTATCAATATAATTCCACATTTTAATAGATTCATTAAAAATTATTTTAGTTATTAAATATTTAGATTCTATTAAAATTTAAAAGTAATAGTAGTTTTTCTGTTTATTATTAAATAATTATTTTCTATTTTCATAGTTTCAAAATTATGGAATGCCTATATATAAGAGTATATATTGAGTAGCCTTACCTAACCCAAAAGCTTGTAGTGGTCATCTAGCCTAACCTAATCTCATGTCTATGTCAGAAAATATGCCCTATTATGTTATTGTGCAACTTGAAGAATGAAAGATGCAAGAAGCTGTAGTTACATACAATGGCGTAATCTCCGCTCACCCTAAGAAGAACTTTATGCAGTACAAAATACTATATACGTCATCTAGTTTCGGACTAGCCAGACTTGTATAGTTTTAAATTAAATTTCAAATAAAATCTGCCTCTTTCATTTAAATTAAATCATTTCAAACCTTGACTTTTGATATAGTTTTAACACATGGTCCCAACTCATTGATTATTATCATTTCAATCTCTATTAATTTACCTGTAGCCATCAAGTGCAGTAACAGTATGAACTGGAAACATATAGGTTCTTTCCAGATGATCAGATCATCAATGGAACTGAATTTTAGAGTGGATAGTTTAGGTGAATGGCTGAAAAACCAGCAGTACATGAACCACAGAAAAATACGTTGATTGAAGAATTGGTATGAATCTAAATATGTTTTTAATTATCACGTTGTTTAATTTATGTTTGTAAGAAATAAGAACAAATTTATTCTAACTATATGTTTAATATAAGCTCCTTGTAAAATACCTTCCAATTTTTATTTTTAATTTATTTTGTGACTAGCTTTCCGCCCGCGTCTTCGCCCGCATGGAGTTCGGTTATATCGCGTTTCCAAGAGAACTTTTTAAAAGTCTGCGATAAAAACTATCCTATGTTCTTTCTCAAGGTCAACTCTATCTCTGTACCAAATTTCATTAAAATCAATTCAGTGGTTTAGGTGTGAAAACGTAACAGACAGACAGACAGAGTTACTGTCGCATTTGTAATATTAGTAGGGATTATTATAATAATTTATTCCTAGTAGTATCTTGATTAAAGTTGATTAATTTATTCGCAACTTAGTACTTGGAGAGAATTTAGAACTAGGAAATTTAATTTCGGATTATATTTGTGTTGTCAATGATAAAAACTTTTCAGCATTCCATGGATTAAACGTGCGGGCGCCGGGTCCATCGTTGTAGGGAGAGGAGCTTCAACAGTGCCTGGGACTAATTAATTTAATACCGTATAATTTCATGAATATGTCTAAAATTTATATATTATTCCTTATACGAATATGTAGTTTACATATATTTATGTATATCATTATTTATTTTCTATAAAACTGAAGTGTGGTAAATAAAATTGAAAAACTCTGCATCGTAAATATATTTCATTAAACTCGATAAAATTTCAGAAATTGAAATTTTGTTGGTTTTTTGAAATGATCTAACTATTAAAAAAACATCAAAGCTTTTATTTGTATTAATTGAAACCTTTTATTTTATGCTCCCTATTGACTTTTTAATAATTTTTTGAAACGGGAGAATTGTGTAGTAAAATTTGATATAAGAGTATTTACTAAATTAGACGCACAAATAACTTCAATAGCAACAAAAAGATCAATAGGTACTTAGAAATTATTTGTATTACAGTGAATAAAACGAAAAAAACTTTTATCAATATTTTATTTATCACAGTTCTCGATATATTTTTTATACGATGATACTGAAGTAGAAAATATAAGAAAAAAAAAGGAAAACTGACGAAATGTCTCAAAGTTTTATGAGGTAATAAAATACACAAGAGATTCTCTCACTCTAGGGTTCCGTATATAAAATAATATTAAATTGACACTACCAACGGTATGCAAGAAAAATTTTTTTTTTAATGTAAATGCCAACATGAGTTTCTAATTTAAATATTACAAAGAAATCTGTGCGTGCTGGAATTAAGTTAGCCTAATCTTACTAGATTATTGCTGATATAGAATTAATTTGTCACTATATTAATATTAAATAATATTCAACAATAACTTTTGTTTAACAATGAATACATCTTTAAAATCTAAATTATAGTAAATACATTTTTAAGATAGAAAATTCCGTTTTTTAAATAAAAAACTATTCTTTTGTTTGCGTTTTTATACAAAATATGTTTTTTTTTTTAGCTTATATATATTTTTTTGCAATAAAGAATTCTATTAGACCAAAAACTTTTAATACGTAGATACAAAATCCTATACAAATCTTTACAATAGTTTTGCTTGCTTCGCAAAACATATTAAATTAAATTAAAATCTTAGTTTCTATATTATGATTGTAAATAAAATAACATTTTTTATCATACCTCATCAGCATTCTATGCAATCAAAGACATTTTTCAATGTACGGAACCATATTTATACACGTATTTCCCTTTTCATGCTATTTTATGTTTTTGTTTGTTCACTATCGTTTGTTACTTGTCTATTTATCTCACGAAATATTTTTTCCCTATTTTTCGCCTACGATCAATATAATACGATTTATATTCAAGATCATAAAATATATCAAATTCCGTTAATCAATTATAAACCCTGATTCAAAAATTACGTTAGATAGTACGTTGGCAAAAAGTTATACGTATAAAATAACATACTTTCAAATTTGGTAAGGTAGGGGGAGGAGCTTGGACAGAGGAAGTGAGCGTATAACGCGCGTTAGTTAAGGGGTCCCTTAAACCTATACCTGGGTCGCAAGTCCCAGTCACTGTTGAAGCTCCTCTCACTACAACGATGAACCCGACACCCGCACGGTGAATCCATGGAATGATGAGAAGTTTTGTCTCTTTAGTATAATAATTGAGAATATTAGAATATATAACACTAGAAAAATATAATAAATCTTATAAGGTTTTGAAATTTAACATGAGGTATTTGGTAATATTATGGAAGGAATTCGTTTCTCAAACAAAATTGCTAAATGAACTGAAAAAAATATTACCGGACTAATTTGAAAACAATAAAAAAATATATCTAAATAAATATAAAAAGTAATTGAAAATTTAAATTGTACTTCTCTTATAAAATGATTTAAAAATACAATAAATATTGAGTTACTATTTATCCTAATGTGTGCTGTATATATGTATGTAAGTCTTCTTTCATGTCATTTATTACTCATGAATTCTTTGAGACATAACTCAATAACAAGATATGATATATATTATTCAAATATGTATGTACTTCAATATATTGATACATATTTTTCTTATACCTACGAGTACATATATATATATATACATAACATATGTATAAACATATTGCAAAGAAGCTGTACATGTTACTGCATCAAGTAGTAACTTTTAAATCGAGATGGACGTCAATTTGTATCCAAATATCTTGAAATAGTCAACCTACCTTTATGACCATAAATATTTAAAATGACGGACCTGTCTTATAAAAAAGTAACGGCCGAAATCTAGTATTAAATATTAAATATCAGAGTAGAGTAAATCCTCACTACTAACCATAGCAACATATTCCCAAGATGGCAATATGAAGTTAACAAATATTTTAGTATGAAATTGACCAAGATATTACATACAATATTAGTCGCTCAAAACATTATTCAGGAAATTCTGAAACAATATAGAATTCTGTAATATACCTATCCTAAAAAAATGCGTGCATAATCTAGAAAAAATCTAGTCCATTCTGAAAAGATCTAGTCCTTCAGAAAAAGAAATACTGTTCAAGTATATTTTTTATAATTTATTTCCAAGAAGTCAATGTATATAAAAACTTTATAATATAACGGAAAGAAATTGAAACTCATAAAAGCCTTTTCAATAACAAAAGACGATAAGTGTATCCCGAGCCCAAATCGATAGCCCTTTGAGTACTCTTAATCTTAACCGTTTTCTTTAAGGGTTTTGAGACTTTAGGAAAGGAAATTGTTTTATTGAAGACTAATGAAACCAATCGTAGTTTTGGATCAAATTAAATACAATTTCTAGAAGAGTTTAAGACTGTACAAAAAATATAACAAATTAAAAAGTCGTGAAACTTTGATAGCAAGCATCTCATCATCATCAGCTTATATTTTTCTATGTTTTAATTCTAAATCCTTCCTATTATTGCCTTGATTAAAAGAACCTCAAAGAGAATTTTATTACGTTATTGGTTAGAGTTTTTACCAGCTTGAAAATAATTCTCTTACCTGATAGCACAGCTTGTGCCATCTTCATCGTCTTCCCTCTTCCGTCGCCTTCTTCTTATATAAAGGTAAGCAGCTACAGCGAACAAAACTGCCACAGCGCCTATACTCAGTAACGAAATTAGCACTACATCACTGCTCTTCATATTGACCTGAAATATAAAAAGAACAGGCTTTAGAGTATAAACTGGCTTCCATATTGAGATTTATAACTTATTTTATTATAGAAAATATTTAAAAACGTTGATTTACATGATACAAAAGGTAACTTCACAAAGACAAAACCGAATACATCATAAGAATTCGTAGTTTCTTTTAAGTTCTATGCATGTTAATTAAAATATATGTTGATACATATTTTATTCACAAAAACATTTTACTAACAAATCGCGTATTACATGTTTCTTTATTATTCTAGAAGAGAATTATATGATAATATATTCGAAGAAAGTGACCATACCAGAAGTTAGAACAATCAAAGCAAAATCAGAATCTTTGAAATCAATTCGTACTTGTACAAATGAAAATGTAACACACAAAAATAATGTTTATGTTTATTTACCAAAATGCCATTAAAATAATTTCACTGCTATCTGGTGATCATTAGGAAAGATCTACAAAATAGATAAGAATTTTGAAAGTCGATTTATATAAGCAGATTTATGAAGTCATTGACGTACAAAGAAAGAGAAAGCCGCATGAAGTCAGTGGTGTCCTAGTGGTTTAAAGGCTCGCCCCTCATGCACAAGGGCGCGGGTTCGATCCTGGCAAGTACCAATTATATTTTTCCGAGTCATATGTACTTTCTAAGAGTATTTAGACATCACTGATTAATGCATTCCCAAAGAGGGTTGATGTCAGGCAGGCGGATGGTCGTTAAAACAATTAGCCAAAACAATTCACAACATGTAAGGCAGACACTGGCTAAAGCTGGGAAAATTGCTAGGTAGACAAAGAAAGAGAAAGCCGCATTGAGAAACTACGCAATATACATAGCTAAAAAATCAAAACTTTTTACTTAAGAAGCATCTGCTACGGTAAGTTGAATGAGAATAAAAACCAATATTGCAGACTTGTGCAATTAACTCTTCAGCAGTAACAAGAGATGTACTTCAAACATAGTACATATGTATTTTGCTTATACATAATAATAAAAATATTCAGTAGACGAATAAGTAAAGCTTTGGAAGAAAATTTAAAACAGTTGTTAGCAGAAAATAATTGTATGAGAAATGTTAATTTTGTATATGAATGTACATACATATATGTATATAAGCACCAGTGGCCTGCACAGAGATTTGGGGTAAGGTAAGCAGAATATGTTTGAAAATAAAATACCAATTTTCATCGCTTCCTCCTCTAAAACATTGATAATAATGATATGTAGCGGAGCTACTTAGATGTGTTGTATTGTAAATTTAAATTTATATTCCTTTCTATATTTATTTATTAATTGTTTAAAATTTATTTAATATTTTTATTTCTTGCGACGGACAAACTTCTTATTAAATTGTATATAGCGAGGATGCGCCGTGCACGCTGCGTCTATTGTTCGCGTCGTCCGGGACCGCGCATCTTTAGCTGTGTAACGCTTGTCCGTCATCGCTACGGCGACACTCGCACGCGCACCCTCGCTTACGGAAAATAATCTCTTTCTGTATTAATAGCTTTTTAGTATGTACATAGTTTAAATTGCTAAACTTTGCTTAATTTGCTAAACATATCTTTCTCAAGTATTGATTTAAATTTGAAATGAAGTCCGATCAGAACGAACACCTATATACTTAATAAATCTCTCAAATCCCTCTGGGCCACGAAAGTACCTTACAACGATTACGATCTGTTCATCACAGCTTTATAAAAGTAAAATATTTAAATAAGAATAGCCATTATCCAGTGGAAATTTAAGCATTCTTATTATTATGATTTGAAAACAACAAACAAGTCAAACAAAATTACTTAGGTATTTGTGTAACTAATTAAAACTATCATAATACTTTTTATCAAAACGAATAACATTACCCGATCTAAGATTTTCGCGAGTACTCATTTAAATGAAACTAATATTTTTCGGATTTTCAGACGAGATGTCTGCCCGTGATCACGGTTGCTGAAAAGTAGCCGAAACGTCGGGAGTATGTAGTTTCTAATAAAAAATAAAACGCGAAGTAAAATCCGAAAAATTTTAGTTTCATTTAAACAAAATTACCTTTCTTTTAGTTCAATCTCAACTGGTCACATACCTTGACATTACACTAATTTTTATCATCAAACAACACTATTGAAAATCTACTTGTAACTCAGAGTTCACAGCTATAATTTTCCATAATTCGTTGATAAATCAATCCACTGTTTACTAATTATAACTTATTCATTTGCGCAAATTTCAATAATAATAATAAAATGGAGTAACAATATATGAACTGTTTACCGACCAATCAGAGAGCCCCGTTTTTTTTGACAATTAACGGGCTTTTTACGACATTTGACACAAAAAAAATACAAAATAATTAATGCATGTGTTAGTTTTACACACACACACATACAAACATTTCCTGTATACATACACGAGATTTGTAGAACGTCCTTGAAAATTATTAAGCACACTCAAAAGTCAAATATATCAGTATTATAATCTTTTTCCTTCATCATTAAATCAGCATTTTTTTCATTAATAAACGCTCAAATAAATAACCATTTTGAATGTAATTAAAGTCAAATAATAATCACATTTTCAATTATACATATATTATTCGGTAACATGAATTGAATATTTAATTGGTTTTATATTTCTTATAAGGAATATTTTTTTTTATAAAAAATATGAATTAACTGGAATGTTTTAGTAAATAGAAGAATCTTTTAAGATTATTTTCAATAATTATAATATTATATTTTCAATAATATCAGTTGAAAGTCTTTTTAAATATTCAATTTTATTTACGAATTTTGTAATTATTAGTTAAAAAGAACGTCAATTGACTTTCACTGATGCTTCAATAACACAATGAACAACTAGGCAACGTTTTTGGCTAAATTCTGAATTCTTGCATTACCTATTATCCGGTTGTATTTATGATCCTACAGGTACACAACGAGATTGAACAAAATACAGCCTATTAGAGCATGTATTGACTGTGTCATAAAGATGTTTTTAGCTTACATCATTTTATGGATTGTTGCCAAAATGCGAGCAGTATATTTGAACTATATTTCTAAATACACATTGACCTTGTCTTGATGGTTTTTTTTTTTGTGTACCAAATTTGAAATAGACAAAATTAAATTTAAAAAATAATGATAATGTATTGATAATTTTTATTTTGTGATATTTGTGATAAATTACTATCGTAAAAATGTTTGATGTATTTTTTTTAAAGAACCCAAAATGTTGAAACTCAAGTGATAATAATAATATGGTTTAATGGTAAAATTGTAAAAATCATAATATGTTTTATAAATACATTTATAAATCTTGATGATATATATGGCATCTGTACATAGATAATAGAACTAATCAGAATAAAAGATATTAGGTACAAAATATAAAATAAATTAAACCAAAACAAAATATATAACATCAAAACTGAATGATTTGATTGTATTGCAAATATTTTATATTTGTTGTTTCAGCCAACAAACATTTATTAATACATAAGATACCTTTTACAATTTAGACGAAAAATACTTAAAAAATTGCATGTCAAGTTGTCAAGCCACATGAAATAAAACGTGTAGTTATACGCCACGTTATGTAAAAAGTGGCGATAATAAGCCACATAGCACAAAACGCAATTATGTCTTACATTTTCCGCAGGTAAATATTCAGCATGTATGGATTTATTGTATGCGGGCGTATGGGAAGCTATTGTTTTAGTTTTACAACATGGTGAGGTTCACTTTGCATTTATTTAGAGCCTTAATTAATAAATTGCATGTATTTTCAGTGCATTTTTCACCCTCTATATGGTTATGCCTGACTATATATACGGATTTAAGGTAAAAATTATGTTAATTTAAAGTTAAAACTATACATAAACTTTTTATTTTGTAATAACGGTATTAATCTAGGTATTTCGTTAATCGTGAAAACTTATACATTATGCCTTTTAAACTTAGAAAATAAATCGTAACTATTAAATACAAAATATTCTTCTAACAAAAATCTTACGCTGACTTCATTATATTGTAAGGCTTGATATTTAGTAATCTACTATAAGTTTATGATACAATTCTCTATTCAGTTGTAACTGCTAAAATTATATACATTATGTTTGAATGGGATCCGAGTAGAAGAGAACTTTTGAGGGCGCGACCGGAGGGCTAATACTGAAGGTCGATCGACCCATGCTTATTCAGACACAAGACAGTACTCGTTCAAGCTGCTATTATATTATCTATATTAATTTTTATATATTTTTTACTAAGTTGTTAGTTAAAAACTGTAAGTGACTATAAAACAATATATGTATTTTTTTCAATTAATTTCTTTATTTTATTATTAGACATCACTGATATACGGTGAAGGAAAACATCGTGAGGAAACTTGGACTTATAGTTTCACAATTATGAGTTTGAAATCACCAACCCGTCTTGATCAAGCGTGGTGATTAATGCTCAAACCTTCTCCATGTGAGAAAGAGGCCTTTGCTCAGCAGTGGGCTTCTGATAAGCTGATGACATTTTTATTGTACTATTTACGTGCTAGTTGAGTTGTAGTGTGAAATGCAACAACAGAAATATTTATTCAAAAATGTAAATAAGAGGGTTGTGTACATTTAATATTAAATCATAAAATAATTGTTATTATTTAATTCGCTTACTATAAGTTTCAACGTGTGACTAACGGATTGGTTCATACATTTCATTCATTAACTATTGGATATACTCGTATTACCTAGGAGTGATCACACTTGAAAGATATCAGATTTAATTTGATATTCTCGAAAGAATACATGAGTAGCAGATACAATAGTAGAATAGTTATGTTTGGAGTCTGGTTTGATAGCGATATTCTTTAGTAAAGAAGCCTGCGTTGTAACCACATATTTTTGTGATACAGTAAAGAAGTAGGGATATCTTTGACGAATCTTCGGCCCCTAACATAAAAAGGTTGCCTTCAAATAGTTATTATTACTCTACTACT